TAGCGAGGTATAGGAGTGCGTCGGCCGAGGATCGAACCCCGGGCCATGTGAATGGTCGGCGAGCGTCCTAACCGCTGTACCACCGACGCGGACAACAGTCATTCATATGTTTTATTTCGCCTGAACTAGCAATGGATGCATAGTCTACTGACTCTGCGTCTCCTTTTAACGCCAGTCAGTTTATGCAGCCAGTTATTTACTATGGCGTGATTATTATGAACACCTCGTAAAAATTATACAAGTAGTTTTCATTCTTATGCTTATGATTTTCATATTACCTATTAATTTGCGCGCTGACCAGAAAATTTATCTACTGTGTATCTTTCTTTTAAATGTTTCGGCTCCTCATAACACTGACAAATTACTGTCCAACTTATTCTTTTTGTATAATTTAATATCACGATCACTAACAACTTATGAGAATGCAAAGACGTAATGCAGTAAACCCAGCTTATTTTCGTGACATTTTCCAGACCAGCAATGTGCGTTTAATTTCAAAATAAGTGTAAACTATTATAAGCGAAATCGGTGATTATACGGCGCACCCCTTATTTGAAGTGGCGCCATCCGCTTCACCTTGTCAGCACTTGCGCTGTTTAATATATTCGAGCGGGGGCTGGTTTGCGTTTTCTTGTCTAGGCGAATGCAGTTTTCGTGATTTCTATGCTTATATGGCTCTTGCTAGGGGAATTTATTCGAAAATTATTATTTGATATAGTTCTTAAGCATAGGTGTATCGTTTGTGCGACAGGACGGTTAAATATGTGGTTCATGCAGTGATTTTTTGGTATGCTTCACGTACATTTCGACGACTGGCTCTTGAAAAATTTATTTGCAGCTTGCTGACAACCTGAACGCGGTTGTAAATTTTACGATCGGCTGTTGTGTAGCACCTATTCCTGTTACAGGAACCCAGGAATACGGCTGGTGTCGCATTCGTGCTTCTACACTTCTGTGTGGTGTTTTGATTGCTGGAAGTCAATACAAGCAAAGATCAGTGATCATATATGGCAGAAATCGCGTTATGATCTGCGAACATCCGCGACATTCCCCGCTTTCTGCCAAAATGATCAACTGAGCTAAAAACATACTACAATATATTCTAGTAATTTGCTGGATTTGAATAACCTTAACATCGTTGTGACCAGGTACCTGGAGACATCTGAGCTGTGCGTCACTTTGTCCTGTTATTGTGCTTGCTTTCATTGACTTCCCGCTTTCTGCTGTTATCCTGAAGCTACACTGTGCGTCTGTGCAACGACGATTCTCAGGATTATGTTTGAATCATGTGGATGTAGTATTCAACATCTTTAAAGCTATGAACGCAAGGTTTTGAAGCAACTACTACATCCACTTCTGTCGAAAATATTGACTGATGTAATAGCACAATAATATAGACTTCTATTAATTCTTGTGCTGTTAACTCGGTAATTATTATATGAATAGTGATATTCATGTTTGCATCCTGTGAACCCTTGTTGTTTTTTTAGCCACTCGGTAATTTCGGCGACGTCACTGGATACGCTGTTATAATAATAATAATGTATTTCATATAAATTTACAAATTTACATGAAAATGCATGCCATTTTTACAGGCACGATCAAGTATGATATAATATCAAATCGTAGATTGCCTACAAGTTAATCGTATTTCAACTGTTAAATATTCGATACATATAATACACTCATTTTCTGAATTAGGCCGTATAGTTATTGAATTGTACAGTTGTCCTCCAGGTTGAGCGGGAAAATCGACTTCGTTCCGTTTTCATCCCGTGGTTGTAGGCATACGATAACCAACCAATATTGAGGTAAGTACACCTTTTACAAGGGATTGGAATCTGTTATAGAAAAATTAAAGTGCTGAGGTGAATCATTAAATTGTAATGAAATAGGTAAGTGCAAGTATCATTAATAAATGCATTAATAAAGGAAACACCCTAGGGTAACAACATTCATTTGCAATGTATAATGCTACAGATATATCACAAACTATCATGATATCCACTTTTGGTTTTAATACAATTATCCTCATGCCAGTTGTTTTTATTTTATACCTTTTTGTGCATTTAGTGCACAACCGTACCCTTCAGAGAGTAGGAGTATAATAAGTAATGAAGAGCTATAAGATGTTAAGTTTAATGGAGTAAAATGAGGATCAAGTAAAGACGTTGTCAGAAAATAAATGAGATAAGACATTGTGGAGTGGTATGGAAAGATCTGACGATAGACAGCAAGTTAATTTATAAGATGCCCCATAAATCTGAGCAGATCCCACATGGTCGCATCTCAACAATAGGCTGGGTGAATGGTATATATTTAAAGGTAGAAGCATGATCTGTCAAGGCGTTCATTGTTATCTTTTTCAAGATAAAGATTTAAGCCCTCATAAAAATCAGAAATATCTCGAGCCTTCAAATTTTTTAATGCTGTTCCTGCAGAATGGGGCGATTCACCTTAGTGACCCCTACCATATCTACTGATCAGCTAACTCCACCCTCCCACCTTTTTGATGTTAGGCTCTGAGACTATGATTATTATGGTTACCGCAAATATATTGCTTGGTACCAGACATGTTCGTACCCCATATTCCATCTCCCTAGCTTTCTTAATGAGTGCTTCCAATAGGTCCCCGCGTACATCTTTATGAACATATTATATATGTATGCATGCGTCCTAATGAACAGATTACTTTATAAGAAGTCAAAAACCTTGAAGAATAACAAGAATAGGTTTTGTGAATAGTGGAGCAAGATTCAGCAGAACAATATAGTTAGGGTTCAATATAGGTAGTATGAACTGAAGGTAAGGTCGGTTGGCAGGACCAAGTGTACTAAATTATCATGACAGTTTTATATATAGTAAACATTTGACATTGCAAAGTAACCTGTCTACATATATTATAAAAAGATATTAGCAGAACCAACAAAATTTCAGCATTTGGTTAACAATACTACAGAAAGTTAGTGAGTCTTACAGGTAGCCGTAAAGTAAATCAATCTATGTATAATAAGCGTGTAATCAGTGTTATAATTCGTATTATCAAAGAATACATTAGGCTCAAAAACTGAATGTTATAAGGGAAATAAGAGTGATAAACTAAGAGAACATTTGCTGCGTAAGTAATCATTTTAAGTATTTTTAATGATAATCTAATTTCAAGTATTGAACATGCATAATTACTAAGTATTATTAGGTTAGTCTAGGAACTAATGTACTGTCTGTAGTT